AGTATACTTTACCATGAAAAATGTAATGATATGCTCCACAACAGGAAGTCTGTGTTTACTATGATAATAATCAGTACTGTAATCATTGCCTTCCGAGTACTGTTCCAGTAATTCTACTAAATCATAAATGGATCTCCTCACACCGTTACGTAGACAGTTTGACATCAACATCGCCACTGAACCAAAGAAATGATCCATTTGGTTCATTCTGAAAATCTAAAGATGAAAATAATATTTGTCACATGTTTTATTTAGTAAATCAATGATGAGAAGTATGTGGAATTCTTGATACAACTGGCTAGCCGAAAATGGCCATTGTTTTGCTGGTTTTGGTCCATCAAATAGTGTTTCATTCTCTTCTGTCACCGTATATGTTGTTACCCTGACCTATGTAACCATGGTAACTGGAACAGTGGATGCGATGGGATAATTGCAAATTAAATTTAATGGATGACTGGGGGGGGGGGGGTAATGTTCTTTATTTTTTTTTATAAATACGTTTAATATTAATTTTGGATGAAACAGACATGGTTCATAGGTTGTAATCAATAGCTTTCAGAAGTAGGTAATTTATGGAACTATTATGTAAAAAGTCATCAAATTTTGTCAATAGCTGTTAAATATGAGATTATTCCTAAAGTTTAATTTGGATCTTGAAATTATTATTTGAAATATTAAATGTAATATGCACAAATTGTTTGATGATTAATCAAAATTCAGCTTTGTTTTAAATTACTGCGGGTATTTGTGATTCTATGCCCGCCAGAATACGAATAAATAAAATTAAGGAAATTACATTTTAACACACAATCGTCAACAGTATTTATGTTTATGCTGAAAATACTTGAAAACGATTTCTACTTATTTTCCACAATTTGCACTAATTCAGACGTCAAGAGTAGAACTTTAAAAGATTATATACAATGATTTAAATAATGTTTACACTAAAAGAAAAACGAGATAAAAATTTATCTGTGATTGAGACATTCTCTAAAAGTTACCATGCATGCTACTATAACAACCTAGATATAGGTGAATACAGTAATGTATATGCCGTACTAATGTTTGTCTAAGGGATTACCTGATGGCCATTTTCACTATAAATGTGCTTTTTTGACTATTCCAACTAATGAAAACAAAATTTATTAACATTTTCAGTCTTGCGAATAACCCATGAATTGTACATGATATTAGCAATGTTGTACTTTTGAAGATTGTGTCTCTTTTTTTTTTACCTTAGTATTTCTAACAACGAATAAATAACTATCGATCATAAAACCAAATGTGCAGTTTACAATCTTAATACATCACCATCAATGGCCAACCAATGGCTCTTTTAGGTATTCACTCTAAAGGTACTGTATACAGTTGTACAGTACCATCTTACATAAAGAAAGTAGTGTTGTCTTACCTCATCCTTTGGCATCCATTCTTCTATAGCATCTCTGTGTTCATTGAGAATCGTTGCACACTCTTTCAACCACTCGTCTTTGAGACGTTTGGCTCCCTTAGCACTAGACTTCTTAACATGTTCATGAAATTCCTCCATTGTTAAAGGCATAATAGATTTCAATCCCGGGATATCTATTAACCTAAAACTTTCATATCTGTGACAATACAAACAAAATGTCTTATAAAGGAAGTTTGAAACAGGTGTTAGCAAGAGTAAAATCAAAAGGTTGCCATTTTTAAAGAATTCAAGATAAAGCATGTTTTCACACACAATTAAATGAACACTGTCATTTGCCATGTTAGCTACTAACCCTGAGTAGCTATAAAAGTGCCCTGATATGATGTCTCTGATGCACAGAGAATTTTGGTGAAAAAACTATTGGAAGTTATGCTCATTCCCAAACACACCAAATTAAAAAAAAAACATACATAAGTAAGTAATCTTGAAAAACATCTAACTATAAATTTGTAATTTGGTGAAATTAAAAAATTAAGTGAAAAAATAAAGGTGTCACAACAATCTAATCTACAAACACACTTTATTTTAGAGATTCTATTTTTATTCATAATCCAAACAAACAAAGAGATGTAGAGGGCATACTGTAAAATATTTTATTTTAGCTGAAAAGACATTTTGGGTGTTTTGTATGAAGTTAATTTTCACTGATTTTTGATGAGTTGAATGTAAAATATAGGGAAAAAAAAAAAGTTTTTGTCCTATTTTTTACCTTAACTAATTCATCTCTTCAGCAAAAATAGCGGAAATAAATTCTAAGTGAAGATAAAATAATTCACAGTAGAGACATACACTTTCAGTAGAGCAAGAAAATCAAATTTATTACAAAACTTTGAACCTTTAATGTATTTGCCTTGACACACATAAAAGTCTTACAGAATCAGAGAACACATGTGCTGCAGCAAATACAGCCCATTCAGAGAAGATAAATGAGCACTTACTTTGTTTCCCAAAGATATAGCACAGCTGACATGACAGGATGCGTGATATACAGCTCAGAGTCCATAAACCTTCTTGCAGAGATTACAGCGTACGCCCAGGGGAACCTATCTCTACCAGCTGGGTGGCAAAGCTTCTCAGGTAAAGGTATACCTAATCTTTCTTGTTCCCTTGGGTCTTTCAATATATAATCCAGCATGGCTTTCTTCACACTTTGTATGTAGTAAAACCTCATTTCCTGGTGATATGAGAAAATTGCATTTTTATTCAAGAAACGCAGACAGATAAGCTGACGAATTATAAGATGCTAATCACCATTGCGTTGCTATGATACAGAAATACCTGGTATTCATTTCCTTAACTCTTACAATACCTCAATATTTGTCACCTTCAAAATTGAAATTAAAACTTAAATTTTTTCCATTTTTTTTCGAAAGTTATGACAGAGACCTGTAGCTAATTGGAAATTATGTTGATTTATTCAAAATTAACAGAAATTATAGAAATAATGCAGGAAAATGTGGAAAATGTTGTATCAAAACTTTGGCATGACAAATGGTATGGCATTCAAAGAAATCATCAACTAATGCTATTCAAACCAAAGTGATTAAACCTTTGAGTTCAAAATTATTTTATACTGTCTACTTCTCTCCACATGAAATATTGACAAAAATTGTTGGAACTTTTGATCAAAAACTAAAATCAATATCTGAACTTGTCTGCATCATCCAAAATAATGATAAAATTTAGTGAAATTTTTTCAAAATGTGTAAATATATGCACTAAATTTTGGGAGGGAAAACATATCTGGGATTCAAAGGGTTAAATTCATACTTCTGTAACATCCTTGAGTGCTTCTTTCAGGTGGTCTGCTTTTAATGCTTTAGGAACAAAGTTATACGTTCCTTGTATCCATTCTTTACTTAATGGGGCTACCATGTGAGGTTCTATGGATCTTTCAATTAGAGAATAATACCTGGAATAAAGTACACACATGACAATGTGAGGAAAAATCACAGATCACAATTAATGTTAATAATTATATAAACAATTAATTCTTAAATATACAAAGTCATTTGTATCTACCAGAAAGTATTAACTATTCAAAAAAATGGAGTTACCCGGTAATCACCAAACCAGTTACCGAGTATCATTCTACAATAAAAGTAAAATGTGTTCATACCCCCTGTAGTATTAAACAAATAAGTTCCATAGTGATGGAACAAGAATAATTATTTCAGCCTATATGCTATATGTTCTAACGTAAAACTATGGACTATTGCAGAGAAGATTTTTATCTCCAAATCGCTCCCTACCTATCCAGATCTTGTTCATCTGGGGTAGTTGGTCTGGAGAGTCCAATAGTTGGAAATGTTGATGGTGGGAATTCCATGCTTAATACAGCAAGTGTTTCTTCATCATGTTCTCGAAGCCTGTCAAAATTCGCTTTTCCTCCACTGGGACTGGAATCAGGTACGGGATCTGAAAAGTTAAAAACAACAAAATATTCAAAGAAACATATTTTATAAATTCAACACACTATGTACCAAATTCTAGTATTCCTGAAAAAAGCAAAGAAGACTTTCCTATAAGCCCAGCAAAAGCTGATTATAATCAGATGAGAGTGCCCTCTAAGCAGATATGCCATATTTGTGAGATTTTTTATGACACAACTAGATAATGATTACCTGTTCAGAAAAATTCTGAATTGGCAAATATATTTTGAAAAAACATATATAGCTATAGAACTTGTAAGAAAACTCTTTAAGAAGCTGCAGCCTGTTTGCACACAAACCAACACTGTCATTTACCATGAGGTGGCTCAGTCTAGACAGTTATCAATGTACCTTCTAAGCCGATATAACACATCGCTTTCTCACATAGATTTTTAACGATGCTCATTCGCCAATTTTTTTTTTGAAGACCTTGCCTCCCATCATCATTTCGACTGAAGTTCCCTACAAAATCTGTCCTGTTAGAGAGCACTCTGATCAGATGTAGATAGTGCATGTGTTTATGTATAGACCAGAACAGAGCTTGAGCATTGAGGACAATTGCCTTGATGTCTAATGAGTTTGCAATACCTATATTATTCCTAAAATATGAAAAAATTACATCAATTTTGGCTTAGAAAATTGTGCCTTCTAGATCTTGAAATTCAAGCATTGACAGAGGTGCATGTGTCTATGGTCAAATTAAGTCATATTTTAATAACCCATTAAAACAAAAAATGCAATATTTAATTCATGTGCGCTTCCATTGGAGATGTGGTTCTGATAGAACAAATATGGTATGGAACATAATTATTCACATTTATTATATTAAATATCATTGTTGATATGGCATGGTAGACATCATGACATTTGCATTGTATGTCAAAAATTACCTGTTTGTACGGTGCTGCCAGGTGGTGGATATGCTTGTACTGATGGTGGGAATTGATATTGAGCAGTAGATGATGCTACTCCACTATCTGTCTCTTCAGCAAAACTTACATTGCCAGATCTCATAGTACTGCCAATAAAAGGCCTGGAACTTGTCCTACTTGCTGTATGGGAGTACCCATTCCTCGGAGATGGCTGGGGATATCCATTCATTCCGGCATTGTCGCCATTGAGTCCGTTTGCATGATGTTGTCGAGGACTAGATAGAGGAGTGGCACCATTGATGGGAGGTAGAGAGTCGGGTACTGCACTTGAGCCAGTCTGAGTTGTGGAGGCATGGCTGGTGACTGAGCCATGAGTGGCTTGGACGCTGGGATTGAAGGCAGCGCCGTCTTTGGGTCTGTGCAAAGTGGTTCCATGTGAACTGGGAAGGAACAGGAATCAATAATGTAGTTAGAATATACCATAACATCAGCATTTACATGCATTTTAACGTGTTTTACTGTACATGCACTAACTTAATTATTGAGGAAGGGGGAGAATAATTTTTTTTTAAAGTACACAATGTATTGTGTAGGTATACCAATATATGCTTCAAACACATCAAGTACACACAACAGGTGGCAAACGATGTGCAGAATATTAGTCACACAGCAAAAAATACTGGGCAACAAAAAAGTTACGGATTTGATACAGGATTCAACCCAAGTTAAGGGGCAGTGTTCAATCAAAAAGGAGATCTGTACACTCCATAAAATAGTTTGGGATTTCACTGTAGACTCGCTGAATAAATTCAAAGCATTCAAGGAGACTTTTTTTCTTATCAACCACACGCATAATCAGAAATCTGACTCTTGAACATTTCAGGCCTCCTCTTAGAGAGCACACCAATTAATGTGGCAATGGGAGTACAGGGGGGTAAAATTACACAGACAGCATACACCTTGATGACAGGTTACCTTGTGTTGGTTTTGGTTCGTAATAACAGAAGTCTAATTGAAGGAATAAAACCAGATTGGTAAATATGTCGTCAAGCGGTGAATGAAAAAAATGTATACAGAAAGATAATATGAAATTCAGCTGTGTTCACATGGAACATGATATATGAGCTCACCATGTAACCCTTATATCATTAAGAAGTGCCTGACAACCACTAAGTATGAGAGCTTTGCAGTTTATGTCATCTGTAGTCTTCCATACCACATGTTACTACTTAATATTTAGGTGAATATTATATACATGTATTGTAGAAAATTCAAAGCAATATTTTGCTATGGAATTAAAAGTGTGAGAATATAATAAAAAAATATTTTGCAATATAATCGCCCTAACTAAGAAATGGAATGAGTACTGAAAAACCATTTATTTTCACTGACATTTAATTTCACTATTTTAATGCTTTGAGCATATTCACTGTGTTTTAATTTCATAAACTTGACAGGGAAGCAATGAGTTATATTGTTATTCTATGTTATCATGTGTTTTTTATTAAAGAGAATTCCACTTATCGATGAAAATAGCAAAATTAATTAATTAATTACCTAAGTATATTATATTAAGAAACACATTTTAGAGAATTTGGCTCAATCAGAATTATAATTTAGTTGTTTTAATTCTCATTCTGAGTTAGCTACATCTTGAAATTACATGGTAGATAAAATTAGCTGAAATGACATGTACTACGTGTATACAAGTTTGTATATGTAACATTATTAGTATCCCCCCTTCACACACACACACACACACACACACACACACACACACACACACACACACACACACACACACGAAAAAAAAAAGGTTACGAGGAGTAATAAACTAATAACCCCATCTTATTTTAATTAGATTGTCACAAGTCTTAGAGGTAATATAGTATTAGATTATATGCAGAATTAAAGAGTGCCTTTTCTTAAGGAAACACTAGATATGTATGTATCATAACATTACAGTGTGCAAACAGTAATACAGAATGATTTATTCATGTTGCCTAGATACTCGGATACACAGTCAGTATGGTGACAACAAATAGTAGCCAGGGACAATGGAAACAGGTGTACCCTAAAGGACATTTATCACGTCAATTAATAGATGTATTTATTGATGGTTAAAAACAGCATGGCATCCAGTCATAGTAGAATATAATAATATGACTGATTCACGCTGTTAAAAAGTACCGAGAATAATCTAATAATTCAATACAAACTTTACTTTATGATTTTTGTTATCCTTTCAATTCAAGTTGGGAAATTGAGCATTATTTACCATAATGATCCCTTCACAGTTAACCAGATAAGCTAGTGTAGTGCTTTGCAGAGACCACAATGAAGGTAAGAGATATTGGACAAACATTGACAGACCAGAAGCATTGGCGTATACAACACACCAATCACAATGTATAATCAAACAAAATGGACAGTATTCAACTTGAGAAGGAATGGTTTCAATATTGACATAAGCAATTGAATAAACACAGTAGTGAAATAACATTAATACTTTAAGTAATCCCAGCAGAGAAGAACTTCACAAATTCTAAAGTCTAGTTGGATATGATTAGAAATACACAAAAAGCACTTATAATACTTAATGGACAATTGGCACAACAAAAACTTTAGGCGTCGACAATTTAAAATCAAAGGGGTGGCTGGAAGAAAAATGTTTTAAGCTAGATACTCAGAGAGAGAAAAAACAGCCTAGAAAAATAAAAATTTACAGATAAGATAGTGTGAAAAAAAAAATTGCACTGATCACACTCTTTCACTCCCCCCCCCCATGATTACAAATGGTTCACCCCCATAAAATACCAGACAGATATGCAATTAAAGCTTAATCACAGACCATTTCTTGTATAACTACTGGTAGTCAAAGTATTGGCACGGTATATAAATATTTACAGTGCTATTTAAGTATTTTTATCTAGTGAACTGCTAATCACAAACTCACCTTCTTCTTGGTGGACTTCTGTTGCCATTTTTGGACTGTTCCAATTGAGCTTGGGGTGAGGTGGACCCTCTGTCATAGGTCCCAGTGGGGGAGGATAGTGAAAGTGATGTCCCATTGTGATGCCCTTGATGCTCTGTAAGAAAAACAACAACAAGTGTATACTTTAAACATTTGTCTGTACTGCGGTATTAAGGAAGAAATATTCTCTGGATTTAATTTTAATGAATTTGACGTTGTAGGGATATTTACTAGGTTTTTAAATTAATGTTTTGTTATGAAATGTGGAAACAAGATATTCTATGGTTACATTTGAATACTGTAAAGTATATGTGTACTTTTCATTGAAAATACATTTTTTGACATTCCAATCATCAATAATCAACAAAACAAAACAAGCAAAATATCTTTTCTGTGAAAATAAATTCAGCTAAAATAAAGTATTTTTTAGTATTTACTGGGTTTTACCAGTATTGGCATACATGCGATTAACTATCAGCATAATAGTAACATTTTCTCATTCATCCATGGCATTCTTTGAAAAGCTAAGAACAAATTTTATAATGATATACATCAGTCATCCTTAAAAAATTCACATTTTTTTCTTAATTCTTTATTTTTTATTAGTGAATTTTTGAAATGTTCAGCTTATAATGGTACACCAACTGTATTCAACTAATAGTGTTGAACACAAAGTGATTAATGATCGACAACTACATGTATAGTAAAATGAATTATTGATTAGAAGTTATTATAGTGTTGCTATAGTAACATACTGTCATCAAACAAGGCTCAAACAATTTGGTGATAATGGTTCGCTAATTGAGCGTGGATCAACACACAAATAGGTCTTGATTGTTCTATTATACATACTGTTCTTTTCTCCTTTAATATGATACTTGTAGAATAGTTTAACAGATTTGGGAATAAAATTTATAAATAATTTACAGTGTAATAGTACTAGTAGTTTTAGCTATTTTGACCCATCAGTGTACAAGTAGTTTTCTATATTTGGATAGAGTAATTGCTCGTAACATATGAGTGTACTTGCATGATTTCACACTGAATATATAAATTGATGTACTATACACTCGTTATTTTCCAGAAATTGCCACCCGATGTATGGTTGAGAAGTCTAGAATGGAGGTCTCTTAGCAAAAAACTTTACGGGTAAACTAAATTAAAATGTTACAGTCATCATACAGTGTTTGATGTGGGTCCCACGCAGCATACTGTAAAATACTTTATTTTAGCTGGAATTAATCATTTCTTTCAGAGAAAATAAAGTATTCTACAGTACACTCACAGTTCCTCTATCACCTGATAGAGGGATAGAGCATGGAGGTAAAGGGATGGATAGAGGGACTGTGTACAGTACCGGTAGTACTGATTGACTTTTTTATTTTCATGGCCGGGGTACAAATGTGAGTTGTTAAAAGTTATGTTATTTAGGAAACTTTATAGAGATATACCACAAATGTGATCATATATATTTAAAGTAAATACATGTTAGCGGGTCTCCATTCCACAAAAACATGCAAGTATAGTTCATAACCCCTGTCGTCTGAAGGCTGGTCAAGGTCAAGAATATTTTGGCCAAGATTATTTTTAATATCATTTTATGTCTGAGAACAGACAGACTGGTTCTGTAGAAAGCAGTCAGAACAGTAACATTTACTACACTACAGTCATATTACTTGCCTGTAATCTATCAAGCCAGATTATGCATGCAACTACCAGCATCTATTCAATTGTAATTGATTATTCAATTCTTGCAAGTAAACACGCAACAGAGTTCAAGATTCAAAACATGAGTTTGACCTTTAACATTATAAATATTTGTATTTTATACAGTCCGTGATTCGTACATTCTGGAGTTGCGTGTTTAATTCGTGCGTTATAATACAGTAAATTGTGATATGATTGATATGATAACTATTCATCCGTTAAACAGTTAGGACATTTACTGGAGTCTTTAAAATATGTTTATTCACGAACGAATTTGGTTCTGTAAATTGAAAGAATATACATGTATGTTGTCGTCTGCAGCAGCTGTGCAACTTCCTGACAGTTAGGGAGTCTGTTTTGTCGAATGCATACTTTATTTCCAGAAAATACTATATACCGTTAGTATTTCTATAGACCTCTTTCAAACCGCAAATATAACATATTGAAGGTATGTGCTTTAAACTGGAATTACGTCAGTGCAGAAAATGAAAGACGTCAAATGGATTACCATGACCCATTATTTTGGAAGATTGTGACTGTCAAACTTGAATTACACTTTTTCTGATAAAATTGTCTGTGTAATAATGTTATACATTTAGTACACGCATTGTTCTTAATTTCTAGATTTGTTTCCCCTGTTTTTCAAGGTGTATAACTTTAGACCACTGAAATGTTGAATGTTGGATTGTGTTGTTACAATCAAAGTTGTTTCAGAGAAAATAAAAAATAGTAACTGATATACCGGTACACTGAATTTCAACATTTTTCATTTTGAATTAAACATTTATCCCAGAGACTTTTGCAAATTACATTCAATAAGTTTTCATTGGCAAAAGGAAACCATTGAGTACAGTACCCACAATTGTGATGAATCATGGAGATAAAAAAAGATAGCTCCATGGATGAATTTACATCGTCATGGAAATGTATTCAAAATGCTTCAAATTGTAATTGTTTGTGGATATATATTAGAATATTACAATTTATACAAGTAGTATTCAATATTACTTATAAGTAATATTACTTACTATATTGTTACTACAGTTTGGTTCCAAATGTTTAAATTGCAAAAGCATCTATATTTTCATGTTGTAAAAACATTGTCACAATGGGTCATAAGCCACACACTGACCATTGTGAATTCTATACAGACAGAGCTGTATTCATCCACTAAATGCATTATAATCGGTTTGAAATCTGTGAAAGGTAATATGTATAAAAACATGGATTTCTGAAATTCAGTGCATTTCTATACATGATGTAAAATATATATGAATCATAATCATAATTGTAACTTGCCTAATTTTCTAGTGATCTCATAAATATATGATGTGGTTAAGTTTCTCGCTGTGGGACTGTAGTTATTTGCAATGGAATCACTGACATGGCGGCAAAACTTCAATTCTTTGAATGGTGCAGCTTGAGTCCAAGAGCCTCTCTGTAATATCTTTGGTTTTTCACTGAATGCAGGCTGAGGGGAGAACAATGCACATCAGATTTTAAATACATGTGTCAGATTTAAGTCAATAATGGGGTGCAAATAGATGAACCTCTGCTATATGGTGAGAAAAAACTAGTAAGAGTGTTTATTTTGTTATTTGTCATGAACGTTTCTTGTGTGACTTGTCAGCTTTTTATACACCAGAAGTTTATAACAAGTAGAACCGAGTACATGCACTAGAAATCTGACTTCAATCATGCAGAAATACTCAAATATATACAGGTGGGGAGTTCAGTTTTCAAGTGTATACTTATATATGTCCTATCTCATCTGTAAGATTTCCTACACTAATATTGACTGGCAATGCAAGCAATAGCATACGTGCAACATCTCCTACCACAAGTGAACATGGATCACCCCCAATTTACCCCGGTACTGTTCTTTGTGTAAATTGCACTATGACTGGGTGCCAATGGAAATGAAACTTACCCAAATATGGTGAAAATGGATAAGTGTTATACTACATATATCGGTATGTAGACTGGCCCAGCTGAGGTAATTTTTTTTCAGTTAAATGATAAAAAAAATTGGAAAAAATAGTTTTGTGAAAGGTGGGGTGAACACGAAACTACCAGAGTCTGGGTGATTTCGCGGTTACAGGGGACTTCGCGTTAACACCTCCATTTTGCTATTTTTTTTATTTAATTTTAAATTTAAAAAAAAATAAATCACCCAGTCTGTGCCAGTCTAATCGGTATGTAAAGATCACATTTAAATTTACGTTCAGAAATGATCTGTATGCTGTGGATTTAAATTTCAAAACAATTGACCAAAAAGGAGAACATAATAACCATCACAACAAGGCATTTTGTTCATCAGAAAGTTTACAAACCATTAAATGTATGGTTAATGTGTATATAAATTGGTGCACAGCTCAGCGATCCTCGATTTACCCAACTACTGTATTATGCAACATGTTTTCAACATAGATGAACTTTTAGTACTTTGAATCCTGGTGACCCTAAGCCTTGTTGGGAATTGTGGGCTATTATTGTCCACTTTTGTAAGCAGTGAACAGTTGCCATTATATACATGTAAACAAAACACACCTGTGAGAAAAAAACACTTTGGTAACAGTCTGCTAAACTGTATTCAAATCAATATATTAATTAATTACATGTAATTGAAAATGCAACACCTTGACAAATTTCAAATATTTTTCTTTAGAATAACTACGGAGAAATTTCATGGACACAAAAATGCATGGCACATTGTAGTTTCTATAAATACCCTGTTGCTGGCAACTTTAATTGACATACAAGTGATATTTATGCAAAGTACTATTATCACTGTTTGTTTTTTTTGTATTTTTTTCAGTGATTGGGAATGAAATAAAGAACATCATATGCACTCCTCTTGTGGTATTTCAAATCACAGTTACTAGAAGAATTTATCTAGTAACCATGTTGAAATGTTTAAACATTATCAACAAAGTGTTCCCATCTTCAAAACCGTGCCAGCGATTTTTATCTTAAATGGAACGAGAGACAAAAAAACAAACTCATTTCTACCATGTAGCCATGACACCATTTTTTTACACTGACTCATGACTGTGTAACTTATTTTGAATCCAATGCTGTATTCACAGGCTGCCGAACATCATATTTAATATAAAGACAAAAGAGTATATATATAAATACACTTTACTTTAAAGGTTCATCTCATATCTCTAATTTATAATATCAGGTGATTGGTAGAAGAAAAATAACTAAGTTTATTCAATATGTTCACAGTGAGCGACAAATCCATATCTCATTGATGATCTCCCATTCCAGTGACCATGAAGGTCTTCAGATTGGGTTATATATTTAATAAAACATTAACCTTATCAATCTTCAAGACCTTAACTGACTTTTAAGTAATTGGCTACATGAGAGATAATTGAAAAATATAATGATGTAGGTGTGGTCCAGCTGTCATCAGTATATAACTGTGATATGAGATCCAAGCCTACCAGTACTACGAACTCAATACTACATATGCAAGTATCTCTGATAAAATTATCAAGCTATATTCCATATATTTTTGCTTTTTGCTTGAAAATATTCACCATGGATAAGTATGTATTTGTTTTCTTAACTGTGCAGTATAATTCTTCTAAAAATAGCAGTTGCTTTAAAGTGGATTGTTGAATTGAGAAACTGTGTGTACACTTGAGTGTGTTCAACTTCAAGTGGAGGGGGGTCAAAGTCACATTGTTGATATGTATTCATGGCCAAACAAACACAGGTTGCTTGGCAACCATTTATAATGTACAATTGTATACTAGAAGGCGTGTGAGGGGAGGTTCACATGCAATTCCACCACACCACTTTCATTGTAATGATGAAAGAAAACTGATGCAAGTTTATCAGTGCACATCGAAATTGGATATACTCATATACTCAGCTATTGTACATAGATGGCATTAGGTAGTTTTAGTAGAAAAGTAATTCTAATTAAACTACCTAGTATCACTAAATTGTGATTAATCTGAAATTGTGTTGATTATCGTAGAAGGAGTAGTAGTGGTGATAATATGAGATTATTACAAGGATACTGTATGCACAAAGGCAGTACAGTGCGAGTATTGACCGACGCATGCGGAGGTTGATGCGACGGCGTACTGTCTGAGAGCATACTTTGCAGTATCCTCATAATAGCCTCATAATGATGTCACCATTGTAAACTCAAGTGAAAAAAATAATTAAGAAAAATTTAGACTTTTATTC